AAAACACTTGCGACTCGACTTGGACTTGAACACCAATGACTCGGGACTTGACTTGGACTTGAGCCCTCTGACTTGAGGTGACTTGATAATTTAATTCAGAGGTCTCAAACACGCCGATCGCGAGATGCCGCTAGAAGAGCAGACTCGCGTCGGGGAGAGCAGAATCTTCAGCCGCTGCAACTCTTGCTGTGAATCCATGCAGGCAGGGGCGGGACTTTATTTTGCTGAGCCACCATGCGGCCAATCATATGCGAGGACACACTAGGATCTTACCATTATGTGAAAAAAGGGTGGGGGGCAGACGCTCCAAAGACAGCAGGTGTAGTGGTACAGGCCAGCTACAGAGCCACGGGGAGCCGGGGAGCCGGATTTAAATGCAAGCGCGTCGGAAGAAGTCAAGAAATGGGCGAAAACCGAAAAAAGAAGCAGCATCTGGCTGCATTTCAATGATATTGGAGAAAGCAAAGCTGAGTGCTGGATTTGTAAAATGAAAATAACCTTCAGAGCAGGGTTTTTGTTTTGGTAACCACTCAGGATTTATTGCCAGAGGTGGGAGAAGTTCAGATCTTGTACTTGAGTAAAAGTACCTGTGTGTAGGAATACTCGGTTACAATAGAAAGTCCTGCATTCAAAATGTTACTCAAGTAAAAGTACAAAAGTATTAGCATCAAAATATAGTTAAAGTACCACCTGCAGAAGGATCTAGATTCAGGTGTTCTTTTCCCCATAGAGACCGCCTCGCTGCACATTATCCCTTGCATAAAGATAGATTGTGGGTCCCTTAAAACATGTTGTACACAGTGGAAATAAACATTCTGGTCACCTCAACATCAGGGATCTTATTAAACTCCTTCTGAATCAAACCGTCACGGTAGCCTAACCTTACTGATCCCTCTTAAAATAGAAAAAAAACACGTTACTTTACCAGCAGAGAGAAAATGGATTATTAAATGATTAATGTGACTAATAAAGAGCAGTTTGATTATTAAGTATTATTCTGTTGATCGATGTAATTACATTTGTTGAAAAGCACATAATGACTTGTTTAAGACTCGTTTTGTCAAAGTAAAGGACTTGGACTTGACTTGAACTTTCCCATCCTGACTTGAGACTTGACTTGGACTTGAGCGCAAAGACTTGAGACTTGACTTGGACTTGAGCGCAAAGACTTGAGACTTGACTCGGACTTGCAAAACAATGACTTGGTCCCACCTCTGGTAGATAGTATAAGAAATGTGCAGAATATGACAGTTTAATGGTGGAGGTATACACACATATTGATAGATGTCTTGTAATGCACTGTTGAGGAACCTGCGACCCAAGTTTTTCATTCATTGCATAACTACACTGTAGTTGTGTATAATATGATATGTCAATAAACCTTAGAAAATCATGAAATCTTGAAAGGGATGTGCAAAATAATCATTATATACAGTCTAATAATAAAAATAATAAAATTAAATAACGTGCTTTAACCACTAGGTGTCCCTTTCTATCACCGTTATGGTGTAAATACAGCCTATCTACCAATTGGATCAAATATAAAAGTCAGCCGAATTAGTGTTGATACTGCAAGGAGACGTATTGTGTGAAAAGAAATGTAAGATGTTGTTTAATTGCTGATATATTTATGATCCACGTCACGTTTTCAGTTTTGGCGGCAGTTCCTGTTTGTCTAGAAGTCTTCTCATCAGGGCTCTATAAATAGAAAACTACGGCAGATATGTAATATTTAATGCAGCCGAACCGTGTATTACAATGCCGTTATGTGATGACTTTCAAAGAGAAAAGCAAGCACACTCGGAATAAAGTATTATTTTATTTAAAAAAAATGTTTTCATGAACGCAAGCTGTTGCCTGGCAACGCAATCGCACAACGTCACGTCCGTTAATTTTATAACGACACACATGGATTAACATCGATTTAATACATTAATGTAGCCTATGTTCCTGCTAAAAGAGGTGTCGACCAGCTGGGGCAACAAGAAAATCAGCGAAATCGAGTGTGACTATTAAAAAATAAATCATTATTATATTAATATTGACAATAACAACCGACCGTCGGGGTAGCATTTGCTAGGCATTTCCGGGTATTTCTCCACTGGCTGGGCCATGTTAACAATACCGTGTAACTGTCACGTTTGAAGGGACGAAATCGTGACATCTTCACGTCTCCCAGCATGGTACATCGTCACATGTTCACGTCTTGCCGTGATACCGGGTTGTTTCAGACAGAGGGTGAAAAGAGGTGCTGCAGCACAGGCAGTATGAGAAAAATAAAGACCTTTTTGAACATTAAAGCATGGAGACATGTTACAGTAGAGGCACAACATATAACATATGAACCTGAAAATGAACATAATATGTCCTATTGAACAGTTTATCAATTGCTGTTTTATTTTTTTATGCAATCTATGCGAAAAAGCTTTTATGAATTAAGAGTTTTCAGTTAGGGCTTGGATTAGGGTTAGGATTGACATACATTTGGTAATCTAATCAGTTTTGGTTATTTGTAATGGTTTACTCAAGGTTGTTGTATTTTTCTCAGATCTGTAGGTGGGATAATTTGGTACAGAGAGATTAAAATACACTGAACAAAAATATAAACCCACACACTCACCCCCTGCCTGAAACGCTTCCATTGGTCTCCTTTGTTCCTTTAGAGAGATTAAAATACACTGAACATCGTGTAGTTGTCCCCATTGCTGTCTTTATCTTGTATTGCTATGACAGCGACCCTCTACCACACAAAACAACACCTGTAAATAACCCAATTTGTGTTCTTTGAAATTGAAAAGGATATTGCATTGTGTTTGTTACTTTCGTTGCAGTTGTATGTCTTAAGTGTAATTTGGCTTGGCTTCCTATTTTGTATGGACATGCCTTTATTTTGAAGGCAAGTTTACGCTGTTGACAGGAAGTTGTTGTTGCTATGGAAACAATGTGATGGAGAAAAGGAGCAAAGATTAACGGAGAAAAGTAATATCTACATATAAAGACGGAGAAAGTAAAGGATAAAGTTTATGTTTAAGTGTTAGCACCCGCCGAAGAGGCACAAGCTCTTACTGTAGCATTTCCCTCCGAATAAGGGTCGAAGACTTGACTGTTGATATTGGAGATTTCAATAAATTAATATCATCAGGCAAGACTTCGACCATTATTCGGATTTATATAAACACCTACCATGACAAGGCACCCACAGCCGAGTAATAATTAAAAATGAATTAAGTCGGCACGGCGGCCCACATTGAAAATTACTCAGGCTTACCTTAGATGATCAAATCACTTAAACACAAAGTCCATCCTCCTGTCCTTTTGGATGAAGTACTTGATGGCGGGGTCATGCAGCTGATCCTTTGCCACTCCAATTTATCATTGAAACTCAATCTTGAAAATGACTCGGTTAAAATGTTCGAAACGATGTCATCACTATCACTGACGTCACGTCAGTGACAGTGATGACACCATGAACGAGCTTATGCTAATTAGCTACTTCCGCCTAGCTTGGCCCGTTGTTATTATAACACATGCATAAACTTCACAGCGGGCGGAACTTGTCATAAAGTCTGCGATAATAAAGCCCACCCATTTAGAGGGAATATATGATTGGTCAATTGTACTGTCATTTGACATTACTCTCTCGTTGAGCTACTATAGCGAGCCCTCTGTGAATTCATAGCAGGACCACCAATCAGCTCCTGTCTTCACAGTAACTCACAGAGACGGCTAAAGGAGCTTCTTTCATTTAACCCTTCACATTCCAACAGAAACTGAACAGGCAGATTCAAAGGATTTATTTCTTTGGAAATGTTATTTTAAATACAATTAAATCAAGTTATTTTGGTAAAACTAATGAAAAATATAACTACAAAAATATTAAAAAATATATATGTGACCCGTTCTATCTAAATCAGTCGGAAGTCGCAACGGCTCATTTCAAAATAAACGTGGATTTGTGTAAAAAAAATAGTTTTTCGGGGTTCGGGTGTTTTGTTTGATTTTAAACAAACAAAGTCTTGGCTTTCAGAATATGAAACTTTTATTTCCAAAATCACACGATAAATACATTTTTGAAGCTTGTAAAGCGAAAATGACAGCTCTCACTCGCACCCTGCTCTTCCGTAGCGATGCTTCCCCTCCCTCCGGCTGAAATTATGAATGTAAGGCGTATAGTAATCATAGATAACACAGCAGGGTCCGTTACATTTTGTTTTCATCTGATTTCAATTAAACAAAGTCTTGGCTTTCAGAATATTAAACTTGTTTCGGCAAATTCAGATGATAAATACAACTTTGAAGCTTGTAACGGCATAATTACAAGCGGAGAACGGAGTAACTTAACGTCACAGCAGGCATAACAACAGCCGGTGTTTCTCGTGAGTGTTTTCGCCGGGAAACAAACACAATACACACAAATGCAAAATTACACAAACACACACACACGTATACCATACACACTCTCGCGAGCTTCCCCCAGACCAGTAATCCAAACGAAAATATCTTCCCTCCGTAGTATTTTGATCATTTGCTCCGCTAATAATCAATCAGATCGATGGATTCCAGAGAAGAGGAAACTTTGAAGGCCTTTTTCTCAAAATGATGACTCGGTGACAGTCCTTATATAATGTGACATATTTTGCTTAATATTTGGAGTACAAAAACAATCCTGATATCATTAGAAAGCTAGGAATCTCCTCTTTCCAACAGTGTATACAACTCCAAATGTGTCTTCGGGTCAATGCGACTGATTTCGATGGAGCAGGTCACATATATTTAAAAAATAGGGGCCCTGATGGCTCGCCACTGTTCAAAGTATTCCTGAAGTGGTGTAGGGTCATGTTGGTTTCTGTGTTTGTTATCTGATAACAGGCTTTTTTGTGTTCTTATTTCTTCACATTTACCATCAAAGCATTTTTCCCATAGGTTTTTGGTTTATTGTTTAATAGTTATTTAGGGTTAGTTTTCATATGCTTTCTTACTTTGTTCTCTTGTCTCTACAGAATGCAGGGGATGTGGAGAGTACCTTAAATATTCTCAATGTCCTGGATGAACTTCTGTCTGCTGGTAAGTTTAGGTCTAACCCAGGGGTGGGCAAACTTTTTGGCTCAGGGGCCACTATGAGTTTTAAAATTTAACAGATGGGCCGGGCCAATAGCAGAACGGTGAAAAAATATTTAGCTGTCCACTCCTCATTAAACACTCGGCACTCAATGTCGACTTTTCTTTTCTTTCTGTCCACTCATTGTTACAGATGCAGGTTCAAAGGTGAATTAGGTTCAAAGGTGAATTATTGCGTCATTGCGTCATCGTTTGGGTCATGACGTAACCGTTGACGTGCCTTCTTATGACCCACACAGCGTTTTACGTCGCTGAGTTTCTCCGCAACACCGCTCACAACAACATCAATAGAGGACTGCGTCGGGTAGTTTTTAATCATACGAAGCCAGATTAAATTAAAGAACTACTTCTCCAACCTTATACCTTTCTCCAGAGTGCCGTGGTGCATTGTTTATGAATGTGGTACAGCTGCATTACTGCCCGCTGCAGTGCTGCTCGTCCACCGGAGTTTATTCTCCCGTTAACTCGTGGCAGCGGCCGCTGTAAAGTTTTCACTGTCTGACTGTCACACAAGCAGCTGATAAATATCCCCCATCCCCATAAGTGAATGTGTTTCAGTCTGAATTGACGCTGTTTGGCATCACAACGCTGTTATGAAAGTTTCTCTGGCATTCTACAGGTGATGTTAGAATAGCAACCGAAGCTAATCAGACTATCTCGTATCATATTGTGGCATAAACCGTTTTCTACACAAAATAAACAGAATCACACTAAGCTGGTTAGTGTTGCCTGACTTTATATAAGTGTTTTTTATAAGTGTGTGGTTGCGTTCTAGTCACTTTGCTCAGTGCTACTGCTTGTTACGACTTGTATTCGCTGTACTGTACTAACCGTGAACTGTTATTGCTCAGGTTAATCTTGACCCCCTCCAATGTAAGCGTGACGTATTTGGTTCTTAGTAGTGATGTGTCGGTCGCGAACGAGCCGATTCTTTTGAACGGCTCTTTGGTACGAACGAGGGGAACCGAGTCGTACTTGGTGAGAGCCGTTCTTCTTATCGTTCAATCAAAGTTGGTCCGCACTCACTGCCTGCCAAAATTCACTCGCCTTTTAAAAAGCTTGATTTTGTTCCCCAAACGTATTCTGTGAAGACCCGCCCCTACTCTGATTTGTAGGTTTCAGCACGAGGAGTTAGGTGGGGTGGGTCTTAACGGAATACGCGAGAGAGAGAAGTCATAACAAGTGGTACTGGACAGATAGACGACGTGTTTTTCGGATGTAAAATGAGCCAAACGCGAAAACGCAGCAGCATTTGGATGCACTTCAACCAAAACCCAGGCAGTGATAAAGCGCACCATTTGTAAAGGCAAAATATCCTTTAAAGCAGGGTCAACAAATAATCTCCATCGCCACTTAAAAACACACTACTAATATTAAGAGTTGCGTGAATTTCATTCAAGGCAAGGCAACTTTATTTACTTAACACATGCAGAGGGTAAATTCAAAGTACATTCACTGACATGAATGACATGGATATGGCGCCACCTTGTGTCATGTTTACAATGCAGATTATTGACATTAGGTCTGGCAATGCAGTCAATCATTATCCTGGTGATTATTTCGCAGATAAACCTAGTAACCCCGCCCCCTTTTTAAAAAAACGGCTCTTTTGAACGGCTCTTTTGAACGGCTCTTTGAAAGGAACGGAGCCATAAGATCCGGCTCCCTTCAAAGAGCCATAATTCCCATCACTAGTTCTTAGATCTTGCCGGGTTGCCGACTCCAGCAAAGGTCATTTGTGTCTAGAGTGCGCCATCTAGTGGGATCAACTGAAATTCCGGGTATTGAAGGAAAAAGGCAAAATGAATGCGGTCTTTACTATAATTTGGACAATTTTGTACCAATATTCGGCGGGCCGGATTAAAAAGCCCAACGGGCCGTATATGGCCCGCGGGCCTTAGTTTGCCCATGCCTGGTCTAACCCCTTGACTGCAATTCAAGAAATCAATAGTCAATGAAGCAGGGGGGAATGACCTTCAGGTAATAGAATGGGTGGGAAGGACCAGGTTAGGAGAATCAACACATCGAAAACATTTAAATCCATCAGACTCTTTCAGAAGTCCGACCTCCGTCCTTCACTTCAAGCCAACTTCAGCTGTTTTGAGCTCTAGTATCTCTAGTATCTCTCTCTGTGTTCAGGTACGGATCGTCGTATCCACTATATGATCAGTAAGGGTGGCAGCGAGGCCTTGCTCAGCGCACTGGTCACCACCGCCCGCAGTTTCAGTCCCAACTACACCCTCCTGCTGCCACTGCTGCACCTGCTGGCTAAAGTTGGACAGAGAGGTGAGAATGGATGAAAAGGTAAATGAATGGAAAGTTGATACCCATGTGGATCCAATGAGCCGTATTGTATTGTGGAATTATGTCAATACGCATAGTGGTCATTTCATTGGTGTGAAACTTGACTTCACTGAATAAGAAAAGCTGTTTTGAGTGAAACTTTACAACCACAAACTACTGAGTAAGATCATTCAGAGGATTACTTATATTGACAATAAGGATATGGTATTTTCAGAACGGAATTGCTCGCCACCCATGCCCCAAAACTTTATTGATCCCAAATCACAGCATGCCTTTCCATTGTCTTCCGCAAGGTATTGTCCAAACAATATTTGCTGAAGGGATATTTGGCCATTTGTCCTTATTAATTTATCTGATTTATGATTAAAACAACTTGACATACAGTGCTGAGGTGAGGCTCCAAGAGTTCAGATGATGTACACCACATAATGTTGACTTTGTATCTATCCTTAAACATCTCTAGTAATGTGCTTATTATAAAGATTCCAACTATTTGTGCACACAAATTGCATGATTTAGACACCTTTAGTGTAATAGGGGAACCTAGACATAACATAATTATGCGACTTTCTCCTCTTCCCACTCCAAATAAATGGTAAGCAACATAATGTAACATCAAAACTAGGAGTTTAAAACCTTTTGAGGTGAGCAATACATTTGTTTTGTGTGTAAGCCAATAGAGCCAATCACGGGGATGGATCAGTAGGAATAATGAATATTGATTATAAAATACATTAAATGGTTAGCTGGTTCTGAACTCTTCAGCTGGACATTGCAATCTACACATATTGTACATGAATAATTTTATATTTGTGTCTGCACAGACCGCCGAATCGGTATGAAGGCAGATGAGGCAGGAGCTGTGCTGCTGACTCTAAATCTGCTCAGAAAAAACGACCAACACGCAAACAGGGCGGCAGCGTGCCTCTGGGTCATCCAGGTGTTCTGTTCATCAGGTACGAAAATGTGTTATGGTTCACCTTCACTCAGCACACTTTACTCTACAGATCGTCCTTCACTGTCTCATTACTTTCAGCTTCCCAGACTATTTTCCCAGACACTAACATCACACAATTGTGTGGTAAGTTCTCAGAGACATGAGTATGAATAGCTTTCACCCAGTAGATGTTAGTAAAGCAGCAAACCAATCATACAAACTGATGTGATGACTTGCAAATGCTCCATTATTTATCATAATGTTTCTGCTTGAATCTCTTTGGGCATCATCTTTACATTATGAGCAACAATGAAAGCAAGAAACGTGGAAAGAGCCAGTAAATGTGTTATTTGATTTGATGTGTTACGTTTAGAAGGAAATCTGACATATCTGATTGGTAAAAGTGACTTTAAAGTTAGTCTTTTCTATCACATTATTCACAATCTAAGGACTGTCACGCTTTGAGCAGGAGGTCAGAAAAAAATGCATTAACAAAAGGGAGGCAGGTATAACAAACAAAAAGCGAGATTTAAAAACCAAAGGACCAGGCAAAATAATACGAAGCACCTAAACTAAAGATGGAATAAACTGGGATGGCAAGAGGAACAAAGTAGCAAAATGAGGGTCAGCTAGGGACGCATGCCAGGCTGTCGTCTGTTTTACCTGATGTTGCCAGAGAACACTGGTAAAGACAGGCATATACAGTACTGTGTACTCACAATACTTATTACAAAACAAGACACAGCTGTGAAAGGTAGGCAACACAAAAAGGTCAGAAAAGGTTCAGACGGTTCAGAAAGGTAAAAACACACAGGTGGAAAGAAGCAGGGCGGGGCAGACAATCACAAAAGGCGGGAAAACACAAAGACAGGAATTTAAACAAAAAAAGTAGAGGGTTCTACAAAATATAACAGGAAACCCAAAAAGACCAACACCAGGATTGTGACATATCTATAGTAATGACACAAGATTTAACTATCAGAAGCAATCTTGTTCCCGTTTTTAGTCCAAGCATTATTGGCCAATCACATTAGCGGGCTTTAGTTTTATGCGCTTTGGTCCAACTGATGATGGGTTATAAGACTAAGAATAACTTCCTCATCAATAAATATTTTTAAACATATTAACTTCAATTAAAATGACACAATACACCTCAGATTTTATTTGCCATGTTATCAGTTTGTTAATGAGTGTTCTTTTTGCAGTTTCTACAGCAAACCTAATAGGAGAAAACCAAGGACTGGATGTCATCTATCGCCTCATCCCTCACTATGCCACTCAAAATCAGCACACCATCAAGTAAGTATACCCAGCCTTCCTGCAGTTGACACATACATCCCATATCTCTCATGATCACACTCAGTCTCTGGATAACACTCGCTAAAGGACAGATATAGTACTCTGCACTATTATCACTCAGTCATCACCTCCAAGCTAGCATCCTAGCCTTAGCTTAGAGGTGTCAGCTAATGTGCAAATGAATGGCAATTTATGGAGGTTATGGCCCCTGGCTGAGCAACAACATTAAATAAAATCCTTCTCACAGCCCGGAACCAAATTATGATGGGCCACTGACATTCAATAACTTGTTAATTCAATGAGCACCTTATTTATACTTTGGCAGATGGTGGACTTAGCATTAGCTTCTGGTTTCAAAGGCCAACGTGAACAAAACGCTTAATTTAAGCCTTCTTACCCTCTCATTTCAAATGCTCAGTGATGGTTTCAGATGTCTGGTTAGTCCAGTTTAGATCTGGTTCATTTTGATCTCTAGATATTTTCCTCAATCCAATAGCACTTCCAGTAGCTGCTTTCTACAGGAAGTTCTTCTTGCTACAGGAAGTTCACTTCTAGTGTACATTTACACTAGTCTGACATCTGATCATTTATCAATGTTGTCTAAATTATGTAATTCTCATCAAGCTTCACTACACAAAAGTCCACCACCAAGAAAAAAACCAAGACGTTTTTCTCTGTGTTTTTAACTGCATTTTGTGTTAATAAATAAACCTTTATTCGTAAAGCACTTTTCATCCACAGAATCAGCTCAAAGTGTATAAGGCATACAACACAAGATAGACAAAAAACAAGATAGAAAAGCCAATTAAAGGGGGAAGTCGCTTATTAAAAGCTATTCTAAAAAATGAATGTTTTTAGTTGATATTTAGAAATGTCGACTGAGTTTGCCTCTCTAATATTTCCTGGTAGGGTGTTCCACAGCTTGGGAGAATAGTTGACAAAAGATGGTTGACGATTGGCTAACCCTTAACCTAACCCTGACCCTCTTTATTTCATTGGCCCCAGAGAGAAGAGTCTGAATTTTTGCTTCCTAGCTTTAGTCCAGAACTATGTCAGGCCAGCGTTTCATCGCAATAAAACATAAATCAAATAATCCAATAAAATGGCAGAAACATAAACATGTTTTGGGTAGTTTGCAGTACAATCGGCTGGCATAGTGGACAATTCATACAAACAAGACATTTTTAGCTCCACTGAGGCTCGAACCACATTTCCATCCCGATGTTTTTTTCATAGACGGTATCATAGACGCCACTAGTATCATATCAAACTACTTTTAGCTTGATGGTATGGCACTATGAAAGTCTTGGTCACTGTCTGCTTAATTGAAGCTAAATTACAGTTTACAGGGAAACAAGATCAACATATCAACATATTCTCTGTATCAACACATCATCATTTCTCCCAACTCATGCGTAGACTCTGACTCTTATGTAAGCCACCATTCTTTCTCCTCTTGGATCGTGTATCTTCTGCCCATCTGTCTCTGTCAGAACTGATGGCATTTGGCTCAAATAGCCTGCATCCTCCAGTATACCAAGTGGAGCATGCCAAGAGCACCAGAAGTACTGGCCTCTCCGTCCGGTTTCATGCCAGGCATACCAGCTCCTGATCAGCCATAGTGAACATGAAACTCCTCCGCTGGTGTGAGGGACTCGGATGCTTTGACATTACACATTTATAGCCCTCAGTGAGTTTTCTGTATCATTTTCATACAGGAGCCAGCTGTTAATTGTCCTAACACAATTAGAAAAACTCGGAGATTCCAGATATCAAAGCCAGCTGCTACTTTGGATAATTTACTAGAATTGGCAACTGTGATATCCAGTGATGTAATAAGAGCAACAAGGCAGTAGATATGCCATTTCCCTTCAGTGTGAGGGGCAGTTAAACATGCCTGTCACAGTGATTTATCCAATTATAGCTATGATATGGCGACCGTCAGATATGTCGGTTGGCTCCTGTGCACACTTTTAAAGCAGTAAAGTAAGTCAGTCAGCTGTACAGCTAAATCTGTCCATCTATTCTCAACTGTCAACAGCACTTAATCCCTCAGTCCCATCTGTTAGACTGCAAGGCACCTCAGCACTTCTTACTATCCTCTTTACATTGTTGCAGGTTGGAGCTACTGCAGATTGCAAAGGAGCTATTTCTCTTTGATTGAGAGGTTTTAAATCACAAATAGTTTGTAATGCATGCAGGGGATGTGGAGGTCTAAGGTTTAATTTTGTTACTGATTTACCTTCCGGTTCCCCAGGTTTTCTGGTTTTGGAATCTTTCCTTGTTGACTTCCTTGATATTCGATCAGTCAATTATTTTTGATCGTCTTACCAATATTTTGAAATCAATTATCCGATTTTGAAATTCATGGATAAAGCGCACTGGTACAGACACTGAAACCCAATAAAACGACACAGAAGCAGGCAGAACGTTCAGGAAGTTCAGTTTACTTTAGTCATGCAGGCAGCTTCAAAACTGGGAAATCTGTCAAACATTGTCTGTTTGATAGATTGTCTATTTCCCAAATTTCAACAAATCCTACAAAGGGCATGCACACTAATCAGGGTCCAAAATGACAGGGGGGGTCAGTAATGGCCAAAGCAGATAAACAGACTAATAACTAACTAAAACTCTGGAGAGCTTGGCAGTTCATGTTCAATACGATCAAATGCAATCAATTGAGAGTGAACTGGTAGATATGCTGTGGGGTTAATTAGGTAATGAATAGCAGGTGGGGGGATGGGCTGAGGGACCCAAGTGAGAGGAATGAGCTGATTGCAAGGGCAGTATATGAATTGACAAGAGGGTTAATGAAATGCAAAACCAGATAAAAAAATGTAAACGGACAGATCCGGGACTTAAACATGCCATTCTCTTTTCTCTTTCACCTATTCACTTCAACCTTACAAACTGAAGACAAAGGGGAGAATATATACTTATGATGAAACCATTTTTGGAACAAAGGGCCAACTTAAAGACAAACATTAACAACTACACCACAAATTGAACAAAACAGGACCGTAAGTCTTTTAGCAGTGAGCTGAAACAAAAGCACAACAAAATGTTGCCAATGTAATCTGGTACATTCTGATTGACTACCTGTTTTCAAGAGTTTGGCTTCAGGAACACATCTTTAGGAGCACCAGCATCCTAAGCACTTGTGACTCAAATAAATATAAAATGCAAACATAGAAATTACATTTCAGGAAAAGTTTTCTTTTTCCTTATTTGCATATTTCAGATCGGTTGACTTGACTTGTGGCCAAGTACACTGACTTAAGCTTTGTTCATGTTTAACATTAAAAGTTGCAGATCATCTAAGTGTATATTCTTGAGGCATTCTTTCATTTTGTATTAATTGATTAGTTTCTAGTGGCTTGATTGATAGATATAATTGAGTATTATCTGCATAACAAAGAAAGTTAAAAGAGTAGTTCCTTATAATATTGCCTAACGGATGGTGATCAGAAAATGTCCAAGAACAGAACCTTGTTGCACTCCATGACCAATCGTAAACACATACAAATTGAGACGGTTCAGATAAATACGAATTAAGTCAGCTCATTATACTGTTTGTGAATACTTGGACATTTGGAGGACTATCAATTACTATTAATCTCTTCCATAGCACATACATAATCACAGTGACACAGTCGTAGCTGTCCCTTTGAAGAAGTGTAGTATTTCCCATCCTCAGTAAACATAGCACAAACCCTGAGGTCCTGGCCCCCCTGTGAGTAACACCCAGGTTTACTTGCTGCTAGAAACTCTACACTGCACAGAGATACATTCTTCTTCTCAGTACACATGTACAACATGCACGTGTCTGCTGTCAGGCAGAGTAGAACTAAATGTCTCTGAACAATACCAACACCAAAACAGCTTCTGTACTTGCCAAAGCTCCACCACACAAAGCATGTCAGGCCAAATTATTAGCCATGTGAAGCTTGAGTTGTGGAATTCTGTAGATGTCACTTAAAATAACAAGTAAGAGAGAAGGAACACATTATAGGGACGACAGGATGGAGGAGGAGAGGAATATGATATTAAATGACAAAACAGACAGAGAGAATGGTACTGGGGAAAAGATTTTTAAAAAAGTAATTCCATATCACATATAACCTAACTTACTGTACCATGACTAAATAACGTCCCTAATTAAAGTCTCAAACTAGATGCTGACTTTTCTATGACAAGGGATAGAGTTATAAAAGGATGTTCTTACAGCAGTTTATACATTTGACATATTATGGAGAAGACTGTTTTTGTATTGTGTCCAATAATATACTGTTGTGCCGTAAGAGCAAATTCACACATAAAATCAAAAATTAGGGTTAGGGTGTTAAAGCGTTTGTTAATTCAATGTTTGAGAGACTAACTGCTCGCTCTTTTTTTTTCAGGGCAGCCATTGATGCCTTTGCTGCTCTGCTGTGTACGAGTAAGTTGCCATGATTTTCATTATTTACCAGCTGATGGTTCTCATCATATATGCTGCACATCACCATCATTATCATCACTACACAACACTACCCGAACCCTTTCCCAGGTTCACTCAGTGTTTCTTGGGGGATTGTCTTGTTTAATTATATATTTATATTGTTCCATATACTGTATAGCTGTTCATGCTTTGATAGCGTGATATGTCACTGTACCTCATATTGTACCTAGTGCAGCTACAGTGGGTTTGAATAGGAGAAACATGAAGGATCTTGTGAAAGCTTGTAGCTCAAGTAACACTAACCGCTAACGTAAGTTCAGTCAGTTATTTATCTGTTAGCTAACCTCAGTTATCTGTGCTGCCAAGACTCTGAGCTCTTGAGCATTTCATCTCAGAAAAATCTCAGTTTAGCACGTTAGCATGCTAAAGAAAAGAGCCAATTAAGGGTAAACACAGAGTTGAGCTGAGGCTTTTGGAATCTCATCAGTTCTTCAGGTATTTGATCATAAACAAAATGATTAGACACATTTTAATGCTGACCTGATGATGGCACTAGATGACTTGCAAGTCATCCTGAGAAGAGCATAAATGTTCATCAAACAGTTATTGAGTGGAGGACAAATCGAGATATAGTGTTGTTGTGTTCCATCTGGACTGGGTTTCAGAAATCTGGAGATCCCAGTTGGTAATTTCAAAATAGTTCAACGCCCACAAAAATATTAATTGTTGTTTATAAATGTGAAGAAATCAAAATATATATATTTTGAGTTTTCATTTATATAAAATCTCCCTTCCTCTCCTGGTGGTACATGTGATAATGGGTGGTTATGGGATGTCTCTGTTGTAATTCTTATGTTGTTCCTACAGGGGTCACTTTTGCTCTTTTTTTCAGAACTGTGTCATTTACAAGCAGAGCAGTTGCTGGTGTGTGTGTGTGTGTGTGTGTGTGTGTGTGTGTGTGTGTGTGTGTGTGTGTGTGTGTGTGTGTGTGTGTGTGTGTGTGTGTGTGTGTGTGTGTGCGTGCGTGCGTGCGTGCGTGCGTGCGTGCGTGCGTGCGTGCGTGCGTGCGTGCGTGCGTGCGTGCGTGCGTGCGTGCGTGCGTGCGTGCGTGCGTGCGTGCGTGCGTGCGTGCGTGCGTGCGTGCGTGCGTGCGTGCGTGCGTGCGTGCGTGCGAGTAAGTGAAGGATTCTGCCATAGTTTCCACATTACAATAAAAACCATTGAAAATAAAAACTCAGTGAAAACACAAATTACATATTAAGTAGACAGAAGACAATAATATATAAAGCAGCTCTCATAGTGAGTTGAAAGCCAGAGAATAAAAAAAAACAGAGGCAGCCAACATACAGAGGAAATCATTCCAGTGATTACGGTCCACAACTGCAAATGTGTAGACAGCCGTAGATCGAGGAGGATGATCCTAGTACGCCAAAACATGTAAAACAGTCAAAGGTAGCAACATTCTGGGTCCGCCCGACTGATCTGCTTTCAAAAAATAACTTTTTTGTCTGGTATGTTAGTTTTCTCTATGAAATAATCTGCCAAAATCAATTTCAAAAGTGCCAGGGTCAGAAAAAGGCTCTATGTGGACACAGACCCTAACTCCCTCCTGGCTTCTACAGTATATCACACATGCATCCCCACACCTCTCTCTCTGGTTACTCCAGCATGTTGAAACATGAAATATCCTCCAGAATGCAGAGGCTCTGGGATTTTCATCTGTAGACAGTATGCTCTCTAGGCTTAAGGCACCATAATGTATTCCTGGTAAAGGAACCAAAGAATAAAAAGTATCTGAGGTCTGAAATATGATATTTTATTATAAGACTAACATCCTGAAGTCCTTAGTGGTCTCTGGATGCTGGACGATTAGACAACATGAAAGTATTGGACCCATTCCATGGTCCTAGATGTGTCCTCAGTGTTGTCCTGAATGTGCTGGAGGTAAGGGAAGGGCGCTCCTATAACAGTCGCTTGACTCTTTGGTTCCCTGGCTGTGTGCCCAGGAGGCATGCTTGGTAATCCATCCATGTTTCATTGGAACAAGAGGTAAACTTGTCCTGAAAGTGGTACTGGAGGAAAGGTCTGGGGGATTATTGACAAAAACAGCATGCCTTTTAATTCGTTTTGGACAAGCTGTGAAGATATATGGACTTGTTACAGCAGACAGATTGACATGGGAAGGATGTTAATATGGACAAAACACAATGATGTACTGTGTGTGTTAGTGTGTGTGCGTTCATGCGTGCTTGTGTTGTTCAGGTTTGGGAGGGTAACTTTAAAAATGAGTTCTGTTACAATAACTAAAACCTGTATCCTGATTACTGGATTCTCTTAAATGCAGTGCAAATAAGGACAAAGGTGAAATAAATATAGAACATAAATTATTTTTGAACATATTTTGTCTCCTTCCAAGACAAAACAATGGTCACATTTCCCTCCAGTGAAAGTATTTTTCTAACTTGAGACCATGATAATGAACTGAAATAGATTTGGTTTCAATAGAGTGCCAACCAGTGGTGTAGTGGTCATTGGACGCGGGGGATCGCCGTCCCCCCACTTATTTGGAGCCCCCACTATTTTGAAGCATGAATTTTTTTTGAATAGTCTAATAAATATAAAATCATTGCCAGTGTTATCAGTTGCAAGTGTGTATTTGTTGTAATAATGACGAAAACATAATACATTTCACAGTAATTATAATAAAAACGTAGCTCAAGTATTTATGCAACTTGATTTGAAGCGTGTGTGTGTGAGGTGCAGCATCGTGTGTGTGTGTGTGTGTGTGTGTAGGGTGACCAAGTGTCCCGCTTTGTGCGGGACTGCACACACAGCATTTTATTATTCAAATATTTTTATTGAGAAGAAGCATACAAGTGTAAGCAATAGTACAGACTTCTTTGGGGTGGAAATCATGCTTACCTTTTTCAACATAGAAGACAAACAGAACAGCCAACAAGAAATAATAAGGAAAAAAAACCACAAAAGAAACATAGCATGACAGGATGCTATGTTTCATGCTTAATGACATACCTAATAATAGTGGGAAAGAACATACAAAATAGTATATATATAATAAAAAAAAGAAAAAGAAATGTAAGTGGTGCAGATGAGCCCAGATTACCTCCCCACCCTTCCCTCCCCGAGCAGTGCCACCCAGCCATTAAAAAAAAACGATTGTTTTTGCAATGCATTTCAGCCGACCGTCCCCCTTATAAATGAAACCATTGGACCCCAAATCCTTTCGAATTCCCCCAGTCTATCTTTTAGGATATATCGAATTCTTTTTAAATGCAGAGTATCAGTCAATGCCGTAATCCAAGTTTTAAAACTGGGCACATCCTTTGATTTCCATAACAGGAGAATACGTTTCTTTGCACACAGGAGAACAATAGGACAGGATATGAAGTTGTGCATTTTGAAGTGTGTTACATTGTTCAGATGTGCCCAGTATCACCAACACTGGATCTGGTTGTAGTTGGACTTTAAATGCCTTTGAAAAGAATGAGAATATTGCGACCCAAAAGTTCTGTAGTTTAGGGCATAGCACATAGCTATGAAGTAAGTCTGCCTCTGATTGTTCACATTTATCACGATTGGTGACACTTCAGGAAAGATTCTATGGAGTTTTACTTTAGAGTAGTGCAACCTAAGATTTTGAACTGTATGAGGCAGTGCCTGGCATTAAGGGAACATATACTCACATAGTTCAGGGCCTTGTCCCAGGTGTCCTCGGCTATTTCCTTACCAAACTCTTTTTCCCAATCTTTTTTATACAGTTTGTATCAACTTGTCCATAGTCTTGTAGTACGTCATATATAAATGACACTGTATGTCTCTCTGCTAAACAGTCTCTCAGACAGTGGTCAAGCTTGTCAGGTGTTGCAGTCTCAAACTCATGTAGGTGGGTCCTCACAAAATGCCTAACCTGGAGATATCTAAAGAAATCCGCCCTAGCCAGCCCATACTTTTCCTGAAGCTTCTGGAATGATGCAAATGTACCACGGATGTATAAATCGCCAACGCTACCCATTCCTAACTCTCTCTATCTGTCAAAGGTTCCATCCATAGTTGAAGGGGTAAATGATGGATTTGATGATAGGGGAACATTGAAGTACAGGCAAAGCACTTAAGATATTCATTGCTATCGGGATGTTAAGAGCATTCCATGGAATATAACAAAAAGTGTATCTCGAGCCGGTTTCTCAAAAGAGCCACACATTTAGTTCACTTATACGAAACTCCAGTCAGTCTCTGGAAAATCAAAGTTTAAAGTCCAAACAGCATTTTTATCATACCCGCGTCCCACAAATTGAGACTATTGAGACAGCTGGCACCGCCCTTTATTATTATATTTTTTAAACGGCATCATGTAAGTTACGCTGACAGGCGACAGAGGTCCACACAGGCACAGAGGTCCACAGAGGTCCACAGTGTACCCCCGCGTTGACAGTTCACGAGCGCGTCCATAGTGTCTCTCCCCCCGTCCACCCAGTAAAAAAATGTAGTCACTTGTTAGCAACCAGCGTTATTGACACATAGAAACTTCAGAGATTTACGAGTTGGGTATTTACTGTTATATGTCGTCAAACAAAACGTGAAAATCTCGTAAGCTTGTGTTAACCACAGACCTTAGTTCCGGCTTTTAACCAAACACACGTTAAAAAAACCTTTGACTTTAAGACGAGGGAACCAGAAGTGGTAAAATGCTACAATTCTTACTCATTTCCTTATTTTATGATTTATTATTCTACTACTACTATTTATTGAAGCATGTCCAGATTATGTAATCCCATTTCATGTATTGGGTTCCTCCCCAAACCTGGTGTTGAAGAACGCAAATGTCACCCATAGCACTCATTGGTGGAGCTCGTTGGCACAGGCTATGATAAACGTACAATATATACAACCTTTCATTGGTTCTATCTCATCAGAGTACCTGGTGCTTGTACTGTGTCTACCGGCAACTACTCTTCAATTAATGTGAATAAGAGCGCTTACTGCAGCAGAACATCCACAGAGAAGTGATTGTGAGTCAGCAAACATTGTCTATCCCCGTCATAACTTTAGCTCTTCTTGTTCTATCCACAGTTTTTCTCATCCTCTTGGATACATTCTGTGTGGTGACAGTTTAGAGAGTCCCTAATCCATAGGGCTCTGAGCTTTTCATGATTTATGCAATATCTTCAGCGCTGCATGTCAAAGCGCCAATTTGCAGAGAACATCAAGGGGACTGCGTTCGCTCATAAACTAGAACATCGAAATGAGCCTGCTCTCAGTGTTCCACTTTGATCTATAATGCAATGTTTGGAGTGAACATAAAAGCAACAATTACGCTGATATCAAGTCATATTTGTAGAAAGAGTTTTCTACCTGGCGACTAATATTTAGGTTACAGTTTCCCACAAACTGTATTAAGTAATACACTCTAGTGTTGTAGACTATAGCTGGAAATGTTATGAAGAATGAAAATAAGCTTTTATATTCAGTTTTGAAAAGCATTAAAGTTTTTTTAAGCAGTATGTACACCCCTTATTTTTGCAAAGTTGTTGAAGTTATTCTAAAAACGTTTCTTGACTAAATAATGTCTTTATTAAAAGGGTGTTTCTATGTATCCTTAGAAAGCATGACTATTCTCGCGTTAGCATGACTATGCTCATTTTCTACTACCCAAATTTAGCACTGCACTCCTGTTATATTGCCTGATCCACGTTTGATTTAAATAAAAAAAACAGATGCACCAGAACCAGAGATATCATCTATTTGTTCCACACCTTCTTGCTTGTCATAACTTGGAGCCTACATTACCCACAATACAACTTGACCATAATGTAATACGCAGCGGAGATGAGCAGCAGCTACTGTACAAAGGGCTCTCTGCTTTCTGACTCCATTCCTTGAAATTGGTATACAAAATTGTAGTCTTCAGCCGACCCAAGTGAAGCCAAATCCCCAGGAAGTGAGCTGGGCATTGACGCACATTTTTGTAGTGGTGGTGTCAGTCGGTGTCCTCATTTTGGCCCAAAAAGACTTTCCCTATTGACTTACATTCAGAAATTGATGTCTGTAAATCAGCCTATAATTATTACTAAGGTAGATTTGTGTCCAATCAGCCACTTTTGAAGTAGATGTCACCGGTAGACTAGTACTGATGCTTTTCTCTCCCTCCTCTGTGTCTGTGTCTCCCTCACAGAGGCTAATGTGTGCTGGGTGGTATCTAAGGGTTACATCTTTGGCCTCCTGCAGCTCTACGAGGACTGGCACAGCAACGGAGCTCAACATGATGCTATTCCTATCCGCCACTCCCTGCTGCGCTGCCTCCATAAGGTCACTAACAGTACTGCAGGCAGACAGGCTTTCATGTTGCATGGAGGCATCAGAGTGCTCTACGAATCTACACAGGTAAAGTTGAAAGTCTTATAGTATATTTATTTCGAGTCTGTGATGCTGGGATATATCGGGGGGTTATGTATTGTAACCCTAGTTCTATAAGCACAGGCGGAGCCCTCTACTGGACTCTATGGGTACTGCTCTCATCAATGATACGCGAGCGTTCACACACTGAAGTTGTATAAACGTAGCCGGCTAATCAGGGCGAGCCTACCTGAATGCGCGCGCATATAAGGCAGCTACACCTCCTGACTGTCATCCTACACCCTCTTCAGTGAGTGGCATAGGAAAGACAGGGCCCCTAGGTAGAGGGCTCCGCCTGTGCTTATAGAACTAGGGTTACAATACGTAACCCCCCGTTCTATCTCACACCGGCTCCGCCCTCTACTGGACTCTCTGGGTACAGTGGGTGGAGCCCCGATGGATAAACGCCCTGTCGCCCTACAACATCGACCCACCACACTGCCCCTGACCGGCCTTTGGTTAACAGCCATCGCACCCCAACTCCCTATCATCCGGTTGTGACCGTGGAGAAGTCGGGGCCGCAGCTTACTTGGCTGGGTAGAGCTTAATTGGTCTGAATAAGCCCATAGCTCCACCCTGCAGGTGCCAGCGCAAGTGACTATACACTGCGCACTACGTTTCCCAGGTCCCTAAGGAGCATGGGGAGAACGTAAGTGCACCATGTCCCCCACACTCACACACGCTTACCTCGTGTAGAGTGTGCATCGACCGTAGTGGGGAAGGCTCTCCCCGTCCTCCAGCACTGTATGGGGCTTACTGCGCACCACGTTTCCCAGGTCCCTAAGGAGCATGGGACAACGTAAGTGCATTATGTCCAAGGGGGTCAGATACAGCTTACTGACCCACAGCCCTCCTCCTTTCACCAGTCCTGTGTTGCCCCAGCAAGCAACGATGAAAAAGGAGCCAGACATGTGTAAGATATACTTACCTCATGAACGGGCCTGGCGTAGAACAAGACGCCGCCGTGCATAGGTGGATGACTAAAGCCATCTAGCTGTATAACCCTCGACCTGAAAGACCTCCTTAGGTTCTTGGGAACAGAGGAGGGGTTCAGTCTGAGTGTCGCCCTGCTACGGTGACCACGAACCAGAAGGCAACTTGGGTGTACCGATAGAGCGGTCAGTTCGCATACTCTCTTGGCAGAAGTCAAAGCAAGCAGCAAAGCTGTTTCTTTTTGCTTCTCTCTCTCTCAATGATAGCGCCTACAGGGAGGAGAGCTCCAGAGGCTCAACGGTTCAGTAACCAAAGCCTCGAGCACCATTCTTTTATGGCAGTTCCTATTGCGGGGTGGAGACATGCACCACTGGGCGCTGTCTCCTGATCCCCTGCAAAAAACGCTTCATAAGCGGTTGGCTAAAGACTGGTCTGCCGCCAAATCCCGCATGACAGGACGAGATGGCTGCTACATACACCTTGACTGTGGCATGAGCAAGCCCCTTCTCCACCAGTAGCTATAGCTAGGATAGAATAGAGCCCAATGTACCGGACAGAGGCTCTAGACTCCCTTCCTCGCACCACGTCTGTCTGTCCTCTAACAGAGTGGCATGTAGCCTGCCCTCCTTCCCGATGGGGCGTACACCTCGCTCTCGATGGGGGCGTACCCCTCGCTCTCGATGGGGGCTGCATTGAGCAAAATCCCCAGATACCCCACCTGCTGGTGAGGTGTGGGACTGCTCTTCTTCCAATTGACCGCAAACCACCAACTTGGTTAGGTGTAAGATCAATTGGGCTGTGTGGAATACCTGCCCATTCCCTGGACCTGGCCATGACTATGAGGTCGTTGAGATAAAAGAAAATCCTCATGCCATGGTCGCGAAGCGGCTGAAGCGCTGTGGTCACACATTTGCTGAACGTGCTTGGGGACAGGGAGTAGCCAAACGGTAGTCTGTTGTACTCGTAGGCTATCCCCTGGAAGGAAAAACACAAATACTTCCTGTGTTTTGGCTTTCTAGCAATTTCGACATGAAAGTAAGCATCCCTCAGGTCGTTGGTTTGTGAACCAATCGCCCGGCTGTACCAGTTCCAGTAACTGTAGGAATCCCAACCACTTCGTCCTGTAACAGGCTGTGGTGGATCCCACTCTTGCTGCCTGGATAGTCTGTATAACTTTGTCAGACAGTCCACCCCTTCTCAGCATGTCCCTCTCAGGATCCAAGCCTGGAGAGGTTGGCCCAGAGTGGGTAACGCCCCTATTGCACTTGCGGTGGAAAGGCGTAGAGCAGCTATCTTGGCCATGGCTCGTGTGCAAACGTGTCTACCCCAAGGGTGGATTGTCCTGCTGAGCCAGGGAGAACCACCATTCGTCTGGCAGGGGCCCGCCTCTTGACATGAGGCCGGCCCCCCTGTTCTCCAGTCCCGGAATGTGGGGGCCCTTTAGAGATAAAAACATTCTTTGAGGCCCACAACCACAGGTTCTCCGCTGTGCTCAACAAAGCGGCGGAGCTGACTCCGTCCTGCCTGTTGATGTAAGCCACTGTGGTGCGGTTGTCGCTCCTCACCAGCACATGTTTGCCCTGTAGTAAGGGTTTGAAGTGCTGTAGGACCAGTACTACTTCCCGTAGCTCTAGAAGGTTGATGTGCTGAGTTTCTGTCAGAGGCCAGCCACCACCTATAGCTCTCTCTAGGCAGGTCCTCCCCATCCTGTCACGGATGCATCTGTGAACACCGTGATGGAGGAGGTCACCCGCCCCAGTGGAGTTCCCCTCCGCAGATGCTTTGGGGACCCCCAGTATCGGAGGTTGCTCTCCACTGAGGGGGGGGATGGTCACCAGACGTCGTTTGTGCCTCTTGGGATCTAAACGAAGGCCGGCAAACCACCTCTGCAGGCGACGCATATGCAGTAACCCCCGCGGTACCACGAGGTGAGCAGCCGCCATGAGACCCAGAGTCTGCATGAAGGTCAAAGCTGTCACCGTTGCCCCCTGTCGCAGCCTGCAAACTGCCTGAAGCAGATGCCTGTCTGCTCTCTGACAGGGTGGCACATAGTCTGCCTGCATCGGGGCAGAGGTTCTCCGCCCAGCCTGCTGCCTGTGGGAGCAGATGGGCTGCCAGGCTCTCATCAAGGGGGGGCAGGCCGGGACACGCTGTGTCCGTGCGGCCCTGCACCCTGAGGCTCCCCACCATACCAGCCACTGGAGCCTTCACCGTCAGTGGCTGTCGCCACGACGCCTCCACACACTGCCAGATATCTGGCAACGGGGGCGAACCGAAGGCTGGCTGCGCCGGGCGGACCGGGCTGTAGAACCCCTGGCGGAGGCGGCTCACCGGTTTCGGCGGCATTGGTTGGGGAGCGGTAGCCCTACACGCTCCTCCGCCATGGTCATCACCAGGGGGAAGTGAATGGCACCGCCTCGGCCATATCCTGGTCCCCCAAACACTCGAAGCAGAGGTGGGGATCGGCGCCCGCTATTAAGCCAGGGCACGAAGGACAGGCCAGAGTCTCTAGAAGTGGCGACTCCATGAAGGTATGATAACTTCTTTCTTCTTCTTTCAAACGTTTTACTTTTCTCTGTCAGGTGTTGTCCTGCTCGCTGAAGAGAAAAGGATGACAGTCAGGAGGTGTAGCTGCCTTATATGCGCGCGCATTCAGGTAGGCTCGCCCTGATTGGCCGGCTACGTTTATACAACTTCAGTGTGTGAACGCTCGCGTATCATTGATGAGAGTAGTACCCATAGAGTCCAGTAGAGGGCGGAGCCTGTGTGAGATAGAACATATGGTCTTTTTAAAATCCATCAGACAATAATACTCTTATTTTTGGCTTTACTGTTCCACAATGCAACACACAACGGACAGAGAGCTTTTAAAGCTGGACAACCACATCAAATGTGTAAAGTGTTGTTAGATCTCACAGCACAAATGCATGCAGTTTTTTGCTGTTAGAACATTCCATTGACTTTCTATAAATCACTATATTACCTGAGTTTTCATCTGTGTTTGCTTCTCTGCAGACATGTTTGCTGAGTAAAGGTCTAGAGTCTCTGGTGGAGCCGTCTTTGCAGCTCATGAGGAAGTGTCTTCCTACAACGCCTCTACCTCTGACTTCAGATCAGTCTGCATACACCTTCCCCCTGCCTGGGAGAGCACACACTGTGCCTGACATAGAACCAGAAGCAGGTACAGCGTCACTATGAGAGCAATTTGTAAAATAACGACAAAAAACATAATGAATATAATGTTGGATGCAGTATTTTCATTTTCGAATAGTTGTAGGTAATATTGCTAAAGCTAATCCTTTTTTATTTGTAATTTTACTAACATGTATTTTAATGTAGTGTTGTCCATATTCCTAATGGCACACAGTGGAACAATGATTTTACATTTTCAAGACATCTTTCCCCAGCTTGAAATTATTCTACGTCTTTGGCTTTGATTCTTACCGTCTGAAATCCCTTTTTCAAATTGGTGGTTATGTAATGTTACTGGTGTGCAGATGTAAAAACTGTCAAATGTAAAAAATGTCTACATAATTGCCTCCAATCAGAGCAGCAATACATTTCCTGCTAAGTTTTACAGTTTAACTGAAACCAGCCCCTTAGCTGCACATGATTGGTTGGAAAAAGTAAATCAATAAAACAACCAATCAGAGCTATATAACGTAAAACCGAACGCTGACATTGGCTGCTCTGTCCCCTATTGTATCCAGATATGAGAAGTGAAGCGAGTGATGATGATGAGGAGGCTGAAGATAACCCAAAGCCAGACTATGTAAGTGACAATTAATGTAGCAGAATTGGTCTGAATGACAGAAAAAACACATTCTGATAAGATTTTACATAACATAAATACTGCATTAAATCACACTCCTGAAAAATAGTTGTTTCCAAACGATATGACTTTCACCCAGATTGTATGTCTTCATGCACCCAAAATGTGTTTGGTAACTGCTGGGAAAGTACTGCAGTAAATGAGATGTCCCATGAAGATGAATAAAATACTAATTTCTGAGAGTCTTACCAAGGAGACTAGAAACAAGGGGATTCAAAAGTGTAATGCAAAAGAAACAACTGCATAATGTTCACAACCTCTTATAAACTCATAGTCAAAAGTCAAATAGAAAAATGCAAACAAGTCCGCTGATTTTCCTGAGGCCAAAAGACACACAACTAAGATGGTGCTGGGGTTATTTTGAGTACACTGAGATATGCATGATTTACTCATCTGTAATATAAGATTTACATAAATGACTGTATCCACTTTACTAAAGGAGTAACCAGTTTTTTGAAAACAAAGTTTTGGCGAAATCCACTGTTTGGCCAAATCAACATGCTAATCACGCTATATATTGGTAATGCAGCGGGTGGGCCGTAAGGGGCCCCACAAATGTTTTCAAAAATAAATAACTAAAAAGGTGCTATACCCACAGTCCAAATACATTTTAGCCTGTAGATTTGACTAATGTTAAACATAATTAAAGCAAGTCATTACATAAATAAATGCTCTGCTTTCTAGGCAACGTTAGCTAGCTAACGCGTTACCAACTTGACTCAATAACACTGACAAAAGCATTTGTTTAATTGTACACCCGACAGGCACACAGGAACCCCCAGGACACAAAATATATTTTTGCTAAATTCCAAATGAAGGCCAAATATCTATTCCAGTGTTTTCCCTACTGTATATTAACTAGTGGCAGACCGCCATTAAATCCTGCGGAGCACTGCTGTGAGTCCATTAATGAGACAAGTGTCTGTAGTTAGTTCACAAGTCTGTAATAACCATAAGGTCTGAGGTAATAACAACAGAAGAGTAGGGTATGTTATCTAAAGTCAGTTTATCAAGTGAAGTGAAAATAACGTTGTCAGTAGCCTTCACGATATGAACAGCTTAGTAAAGCACATTATGCTAACGACAGGGATTCTGTGTTTTTATGAGGGAATCTGTTAAACGGTAGTCTGCTACTCCTTTACCTTCTACTTGTGCTCCCAAATACCACATGAGATTACTACATGGTTAAAGTGCTTGTCTTTGCTTGTGCGCCAACCATTTTTTAAAAGGATTTTCGTTGGCGCTGCCTGTGTTTTGCCTACCAGCTACTGCGTGTCGTCACCATTGACACCAGCTTGGTTACTTTATATTAACAGTAATGAAAGCTTTCCCTGCCTTCCATCAACATACAAGTTGGAAAGGTTTTTGTACAGCTATGAGTGCCATAAATAGTTCTTAAATAACCGTGCTTCAATAAGCATTGACAGACAAATGTCCTCAATAGAATAGAAAGCCTTAAGTTTTAGGTTAGAGTTGTTATTATAAATATATTCATGTCAAGATGAGGGACGCACATAAAGATTAGTCGTCTGAAAGGAGACAAATCATTATTCTGTTGTTGTGCCCTGGGCTCCACTATTTTAATGTATCTCTAATTGTTTGTGCATTAATGGTTTTGCATTATAAATAGTGCAATCTAAATGTAAGAAACACAGCTCCTCTGTTGGAGGTAAAGACAGCGAGCAATAATGTATGGCACCATAAATGAAATTAGTTTAGAAGAATATAATTAATATGCATATATAGTGTTGCTCTGCTCTCAGGGGATTAGACAGAATGTTAATCATTAATATTTGCAGGATAGAGGCGGCATCCATCAGCCTTTCTCTGTTATCTATTATAGATGATGCTTCCACAGCTCTCTTATTCTGATTTAAATGACACATTATAATCTTATTTAACATGAATATGTTTTATAAACTGAAATATAACAGCAATCATTAGTTTGACAAGATAATCTTAACTCAAGGTCCAACAAAAAAACTAATTCTAGGGGCTTCCATACAAAACCTGATGGATTTAATCGTCATACACAGCGAATATGTGAGAATGAATATGAATTGTATTTCAATTTAAATTGTATTCACATTGAATAAGCAGAGGGCCCCATCTTAAACAAAGAACACATGTTTGCCAATCAATGTATTCAAAACTATTAATTGGGAATTATTAAATGACTTACTACAACCAAAAATGTATATGTCAGTATTTAATCAAAATAAATCAACATTACAATACTTTACACATCTATGAAATGGGACTTTCATGCTTGGACTTCTCTCTTGCTGTGAAAAAAATCAAAAAATATCCATGAGAAATACATGTCTACTGTAGATTTGGTGAGTCATTATACCCCTCTTGTGAATTTCACAGGTTTTATTTCACTCTTGCCTCCAACTCCTAATCAACTAACCCCTTGCCCTTATTTCACCTAGCTTAGCACTTTCTACTTTTGTTGTTATTTTGTTTTACTTGCTTGTAAGCGCTTTGAGCCCCAGGAAAAGCGCTTTATAAATGTAATGTATTATTATTATTATTATTATTATTATCCCATTTTAATTTTTTTCAAAGTTGGCAAACCTACTTAATAGTGTCACGATAAGCAGAGCAGGGTGGATCCAGATGCAGGAGAACAAATTCTTACAGAAATCACCTTTTTTTTAAAGGCCTTCTTCAGACAAAGCAAGGCATTGCAAAGCTGAACAGAACTTCCCAAGAAGGACAAACACTGAGAAAAGCAGTGCATGTGTATAGAACGTCAGGTTGTTGCAGACCTAATGGCGTTCATGTGAAACTAATAAGTCCAGGACAGACAATCTAAACTAGCAGGAAAACACACAAAGACAGAAAGTAAAAACAGACATTACACTTCGTTTTTTCTTTAAGCCCCGAGGGGGAAATAACTCATTTATGAAATGTGGTCCCTAATGATTTTAATAAGGACCATTCAAGAGTTCGTCCAAGCTAGTTGATTTATGCAAAAAAATATCTGCTGATTTAAGGACTTCCCCTTCCAAGCCTAAGTCAATGAGAAAAAGCCTTCTGGGGGCTTGTACTGGATCCCATTGGTGGGTACAGATTGTACAAGTCTGTGTTCTGGAACAATGATACCAACTCTGTAAACCTAACTGTCATGACAAAACTCAAGCACCACACTGTTGTTCAAATAAATCCTTTGTGCTGAGGTTCTTGTGATTGGTTCCCCTCATAGACAAAACCATCAAAAGTAAGAACATTGTGAGTGCTTTTATTCTCTCTTGAGTCATATATAATCAAAATGTCAGTAAACAGGCAGACTGCCAGTGACTAACAATAACATGAGGCCAATATGAGAGAGCGCAGGATATTTATGGAGTAATATGTGTGGAAGGAGCTCTGTTCTTCTTCCTCTTATTAGGCAGACACTGCTCATTGGACAGACTTGATTTACATACAATGATTTGTTTATCGTGACTCAGTTACTGAGTAATGCTGCATTCCCAGTGTGGCAGTATGTGGTAGACAGGAAGAGACAGATGTTCTTTGTTTTCTACAGGGGACTGTCAATAACTATGCCAGCAACAACGGTGCTAAGTGCCACCCACAACACCCACTGATACTGCCTGTCAGAATAAGTTCCATTTGTTTTCCACTTTCTCGCTGAAGTAATATATATGTACAAACTTTAACCAAATGTTTTTATTGTCAAAGATCTTAGGAAAAAACTGATACAACATATTTGGTCTGAGGGAAAAAATCAGGTTTGACTTGACCATTTACCATTTAGTCTCTATGGTTACCTATGAGTTAGAGATTATATTTAATAATTTAAATACAACAAAAATATCTGCTGCTATGCTAGCATGATGCTAATGCTACGACTCTTGTGTAGACATAGGAAGCAAACGGCTATGACATACAGAAGCTATTTTAAAAGATGATATTCATTCCCTATTTTTTGTGTTATTGCTCTATTATATACAGTATTATATATAATTTTATATGACATACTATTCATTTTTCAACCATACTTTAATGACCACTTGTTTTCCATCATTTAAGTTTTGAATGGCGGCATAAGCAGTTTTTCAGTTTTTCAGTTTTTTTTTTTTTTACCTGATATACTGGCTATCAGGTCCTATCAATACATATGCTAATTAAGTTGTCATATGTGAGTAGGATCATGGTGAAAAATATGCCAGTATAATATGCAGGTCGAAAACGGAAAATGCCACGGTGACAGCAACAAGTCCTCAAGCATTTGCTTAATAGTTGTGGAGCATGAGGTTCGTACCACTCCAGCGGTTGTGCTGGAGTGGTCATTCTTCAATTCATTGTCTGGTTCAAGACACTTTAATTGCCCAAATACTTGTCCAATTTAAAAGTCTTTGAGTACGTTTCTGTTTAACTCTTTCTTTCCAGGATGATGATTTGGAGACTGACCTGAACAAACTTCGTTTCTGTCCCGACCCGGACAGACCCAAAGAGCTGCTGCCACAGTACAGCCGCCTCTGTCCTGAACTCTCACATGACTTCCAGGTAAACACGTCTGTGTGCATAGCCCTTTCACACAAGTAATAAACAAGAGATTGTCCGATGCATTCTCACTAGGAATATTTGTTTGGTTTGAGCAAATGATGGTGGCTGGTGTGAAGCTACGGTCACGTAGTCAGCTCAGAATTTGATAAACAACGATTTTCTTGCCTCTCTATGAGTTTTGCTCAAGATTTCTGAGTCCCTACAGGCAAAGGTTTCTGGGTCTCTCCAGTTAGATATTTTGTTGGTATTTTTGTTTGAATGACACTTCTTCTTTAAGCTTGGAGATGGGTCTAGCTCCAATCTCACAGTCTACCCACTTCACTGCACAAAACCCCCCCTTGAGATATTTTCCTAACCTTAATTGAGCTACGGTTTGTTCGCTGCAAGACTTACTTGCCCTAGGTTATTTTTCTTCTGGTTTCACACTTTTTGGACAATAAGGGTTTAGGGTTAGGGGTTAGAACTCTGTACTCGGATTAGCCAAATTGGACTTTACACACACACTGCTGGCAGCGAAAAGTCTGAAAGATCCCCGGTCAAAATGATTCCAACATTTGTTTTCACAAACAGCTCCTCTGGGTAATGTCAAGATAAATTCATGGTTGCAATGCATGTGTGAAAGGAGCTTGAGTTCAATAAGGTTGAAACAACAATCTGTTGAAGAGCCGTGTTGGTAAAATGTGAGCTGATGAGAGGCAGCTGAGCACATTGAGGACATGGAGAGCTGATTGCAGGCATGCATGATGAGCAGGAGGGGAAACCATGCCAACACACAGACAAAACATGGTTGGGGTCGAATTGTCAATAACCGGGGATGCACCTGAATGCCTTAGTTTGGACATTGTAATAGAACCATGGAAGGGGAAACACTAGCAAACCCTAGATAACATTCTAGGGTCACGGCTGTAAAACACAGAGGCAACCATGACAAATACAGATTCTGCAAGAAATGTAAGTTTTGGAAGAAGGAGAGGAAGTGAAGATGTATTCTTTGGTTCGCAGCCAGGAGAAAGTTAAAAAGGAGACGAATGTAGTCTCGGAAAGTTCAAATGAGTAATTTAATAAAGTATCGTTGTATTGGATCAAACAAGCAAGTCTTCTATCATGCAAGCATTCATCCACTGAGACTTCTATAAACATAGCCGGCCCCGGGGCGGGCCTACATGAATGCGCACGCATCTCACCGTATTAAAGGAGGCCTCGCCTCCTGACTGTCATCCTACACCTCTCTTCAGCGAGCGGCATAGGATCGACAGGGCCCCGAGTAGAGGGCTCCGCCTGTGCTTATATAACAAGGGTTACCATACGTAACCCCTCGTTATATCTCTCACAGGCTGATGTATACACGCGCTGTCGTCCAACAACACTGTTCCATCCCACTGCCCCTGACCGGCTTTCTGGTTAGCGGCCGCTGCACCGCACCCTCCTTTACCTCGGTTGTGACCGTGGAGAAGTCTGGGCCGCGGCTGATAGAGCACACTCCGACGCGCTTACCTCGCGAAAAGTGTGCTCGGAAAGCAGTGCTGAGGGCTCCCCCCCCCCGCCCATAGGCAGACGGAGAGAGCCCCCAGCCCCGTATGGGCTCACTGTGCACCACGTCTCCCGAGTCCCAAAGAAGCACAGGGAGAGCGCCCCATGTCCCCCACACTCAGACACTGACCCCGTGCAGAGTGTGTATGGACTATAGTGTGGAGGGCTCTCCCCTCCTGCCCCTAGGCAGGCGAGGAGAGCCCTCCAGCCCGGGGAGGGGGTCAGATGCCCACTGTCCAGTAGAGGGCGGAGCCTGTGAGAGATATAACATATTGTTAATAAAACAAAGCTGATACAAAAGAACAAGTACCAACACAAAACAACAAAATTAAAGAAAAACAGACCGGATGGCACAAGGTACAAGAGTGGGAACACAGGCAGGACCTCAGGGAAACAGACAGGAAAACAGACGACGAACTGACAAAAAACACAAGGGGAGACAGGCCTATACACAGTGGCGACTGGTCATTAGGGGCAGGTGGGGCACAGCCCCACCTGGTGTCAGCAGAAAGTATTACAAATAATGATTACAAAAATGCAAAAAAATAAATAAAAAAATATATAAAATATATTTTAAGATCATGTTTAATCATCTGATTCGTCTGTACATTGCTGTTTTAGTCTGTGTTCTTCTAATTAGTGTGTCTACAGTCACAGTGTGTGCCTATTGAGCTGTTTAGAGCCATGTGGGACAAAACCTGATTATGCCCCTTCCTCTCGCTGTGAAGTGAACGTTGACTGTAAAAACTACACTGCGCATGCTCAGAGTATTTTGTAATGTAATGTGTGTGGCAAAAAAATAATGACCAGAGGGGCACGGAGCTACCATCCCCACCATACGTCATCTCAAATCATTCAGAGCTGATTGGCTGTAAGTACGTGTGCCGCGAAAAGTGTGGTGTGTGAAGAGGAGACGAGAGAGCTGCAGTGGCGCGTCCTAAAACCAGGAAGTAAGCACAAAAAAGCAATGAGATTTCTCCAGAGGATTTTAGAAAATAGCTCGAAATAAGATCTGTGGGAAACGTACCTGTTAGATAAATGCACGTTTTGATTAGCCGGATAATATCCACATGTCTACCCTACTTTTATAATTTTTTTATCATAAATCTATGGATTAGATTTATGATAGACTTTTGAAACTACAAGAACATAAGGAGGACTTTTACAAAAAAGTAATAGAAATGTTTGTCCAGAAGGATAGGCAAATGGACTTCATCTTCAAGTCAAGGTAAGACCGCCATTTTATTGAAAATGGGATCTTACTAAGAGAGAACAATTCAATATTTAAATGATAAAATTACATTTTTTGGGTATCCTTTTGTTGAACTGTCTGTTTAAAATTAATCGAAGCATCAGACAAAAAAAGCTTTTGAAAATAATATTATATTTTGGTTTAGGTCAAAATATAATATTTGTAAACCTGAAGAGTCAGTGCCAGTGCCTCACCAGCCATGAACCTCACTGCACGTCACTGCAGAAGCTTATATATAGACATCTAAGTTTTTTGTGCCCCACCACTTTTGTACATATAAAAACGCCACTGCAGAGGTGGCACATCAGAAATCTCACACTTAACACCTAAGGGTTTGTCTATTGTCTAGGTGAGATTAGGTTCACTATTATGGCGCATCGTGTTGGGTAGTAAGATCAGTAAGAATATTGAGACAAAGAGCTCTTTCTGAAATGTGCAGGATATGATCATGACTAACATGGCTGTTACTGCAGGAGGACATGACGGATTAGAGAAAGAGGCAGGCAATGACACGCTGTGTGTGTGTGTGTGTGTGTGTGTGTGTGTGTGTGTGTGTGTGTGTGTGTGTGTGTGTGTGTGTGTGTGTGTGTGTGTGTGTGTGTGTGTGTGTGTGTGTGTGTGTGTGTGTGTGTGTGCGTGCGTGCTCGGGTGCTAATTTCATACATGGTCATGATCATCGTGACTTCCATGGGTCTTAGCAGAGGTAGACATGACTAATTCTACAGAGAGCGGAGATAAACGTTCATCAAAGACATGCTCAATGTCAACACACCTGACACATTTCTAAAGGGCATACTTGTGCTTTAGACTCCTGTATTGGATCTATTCACTCTGGTGATGTAGGGCTGCATTAAGTAGGGTGGGAATAATATTGCATCATAAAACTTCTGCCTATATACAGTACATGTGCACATACATCAGACACAGAGCATTCATGTGGAGTGGTGCAGCTCTTAAATGTCAGTCCAATATGGTGTGTATCCAATAATCCTTTTAATCCTGACAGAATTGTAATTGATGATAAGTGGAGCTTTCACTTAAGGCCTGTGATCACGTCTTAATTACAATGAGTGACTATGAGGAAGAAGGCGTAAGCGTTACTATGAGAGATTGCTGCCTTTACATATGCTCAATATTATTTTTAATTGAGAAAACTGACATTTGAAACATGTATTAACAGCAGCATATTTAGAGTTTGGCATCTTGGCTGCACCACTTATATTAAAGAGGCCCTAATGTGCTTTTTGCATTTTTCTGTTCCTGTAGTGTGTTATAGGTTTTTGTGCATCTAAATGGTCTACAAAGGTTAAAATCCCAAAGTTCCCTCCAGAGGTAGTTTCTCTATCACACACTCCCCCCCCCCCCTTCCTGAAACGCCTCCATTAGACATCTCTAAGCGGTTGACAAATCACAACAGAGCCGGCCAGCTAACCAATCAGAGCAGACTGGGCTCTGGTTTCAGACAGAGGGTGAAAAGAGGTGCTGAAGCACAGGCAGTATGAGAAAAATAAAGACCTTTTTGAACATTAAAGCACGGAGACATGTCCCAGTAGAGGCACAATAAAAATATGATGCTGAAAATGTGCATACAAATGTTTCATAATGAAACATTTTACTTACTAACACTTCAAGTATATTTTCTGACTTATGTATGTTTACTTTGGTAGGCTCTTGAATGCAATAATATGGTATTGATATTTTTCCTTGAAATTATCTGAATACCTGCATATGTGTTTTTGTGACAGAGATTCTCTGTGTGTGTATGTGTGTGCTCGTGTGGTGTATGTGTGTGTGAAAGACAGAAATAGATAGTGTCAGAGACAGATTGGAGATGATCAACGAGTGTCTCGGTCCATGATAATGTTTCATGTCATAAAAAACAGGATACCATCTGACATGACTCGTGATGAATGTGATAATGTCTGACTAATGGGAAGCTCATCCATGCTTACATGTCAGAATTTATTACCAGGATAAATCTAATGTGAGAGCACAAAGCATGTTTCCTTCATCAAATACACCATGAGATATCATTCCTATACTTCAGTATCTATGTTAGATCTTACCTCATTGTGATTACCCTTTGTGTCATCCATTTGTCGAAGTCTAGCTGGTTGACTGCTGATACTGTCTCTTTTGTGTGCAAAACATAATTGTTTTATTAAGAGTTTTAAAAGCTTAAGTGCTGGCAGGTACAGATGTGTCTTAATGTAGTGTTTTCATGTTTTCTAGAGAGAAATAAAGAAGGATTAGAATCAAGTCATTTCCTGAAAATTATTATATTTTAAATGAAAGAGGATATATTGTGCTCATTTTCAGCTTCATATTTTTATTGTGTCTCTACTGGGACATGTCTCCGTGCTTTAATGTTCAAAAAGCTCTTTATTCTTCTCATACCGCCTGTGCTGCAGCACCTCTTTTCACCCTCTGTCTGAAACCAGAGCCCAGTCTGCTCTGATTGGTTAGCTGGCCGGCTCTGTTGTGATTAGTCAACCGCTTAGAGATGTCCTTCCCCTTAGCCTATCACGTACAATGTGTTGGGGCTCTAGCCAATAGAAGCGTGATTGTTACATAGTGATGTCACTATGTTAGGAAAGTAAACAAAGGAGTCATATGGAGGCATTTGAGGCAGGGGGTGGGGAGAGGATGGGTTTAGTATCTAACTTTGGGATTTTTAGCTATATAACACACGACAGGGCCTCTTAAAGACACATCTTTCTCATGTCTCGACAAGTCCTTTAAATTAAGCTTTTGGCAGACATGTTGGCCTTCGAGCAAATAAAATGACCATGACCCAAACATTTGTATCCCACAGGAGCTGGATTTGAGGTCCGAGCCCGAGGAGGGTTCCACGGCGTCCTCGTCTTCCTCAGACGACGAAGCTGTGCTGCTCAACACTTATTCTTTCAGCTCCTCCAGGAGGGACAGGAGGAGGAGTTCTGCCAGCTGGGATTGGTCCACCTCCTCCTCTGGGTCTCACTCAGAGACAGAACCAGACACAGCAGGTCAGAGCCAGGGCCAGAGCAAATGTGATACTACCATCTATATTATTACTGAGACTACAAGAAGATGATAACTTTTTCATCATCTAAGAAAAACACAGCATGGTTTTCTCCTCTTATTGTTAAAAGTAGAATTTCATAGTTTCTATTTTGTTTCCTCTCTCTACAGCTGCCTCCCATTTAGAGGCGTGTGATTTCCACAGTCACAGCAGCATCCTCAGCACCAGCCCCAGCTTTAGGACCATGGTTAGAGAGGCAAGGTATGCTGGCTTCCTCTGCATGGATATCTAGATAAGGCAATCTGCATTAATGATGAAATGACATGTAATCTGTATCCACAAAGGAAATGAGGTATATCTGAAAGAATTACCTGAGGTCATTCCTTTAAAAACAAGACATGGTCCAAACCTCACATCCTCCACCCTGATCCTCAACACCGGAGCCCCTCAAGGCTGCGTGCTCAGCCCTCTCCTCTACTCCCTGTTCACACACGACTGCGTGGCCACACACAGCTCCAACACCATCGTGAAGTTTGCTGACGAGACGACCGTCATCGGCCAGATCACAGACGGCGACGAGACGGCGTACAGAGAGGAGGTCGAAAACCTGACATCTTGGTGCCAGGATAACAACCTCCATCTCAACGTCAGCAAAACCAAGGAGCTGATTGTGGATTACAGGAAGCAGCAGAGAGAGGGACACGCCCCCATCGCCATCAATGGGACTACGGCGGAGAGAGTCAGCAGCTTCAGGTTCCTTGGGGTCCACATCACTGAGGACCTGACATGGACTCTTCACACCACCACTATCACCAAGAAAGCTCGACAGCGGCTCTTCTTCCTCCGCAGGCTGAGGAGGTTCAACATGGACTCCAGGAGACTCTGCAACTTCTACAGGTGCACCATAGAGAGCATCCTGACCTTCTACAGGTGCACCATAGAGAGCATCCTGACCTTCTACAGCATCACGGCCTGGTACGGCAGCTGCACCGCCCTTAATCGTAAGGCTTTACAGAGGGTGGTGAAAACTGCACAGAACATCACCAGGACGGAGCTGCCATCCATGGAGGACCTCTACTCCCAGCGGCTCAGGAAGAAAGCCCTCAGGATTATCAAAGACCCCCATCACCCCAGCCACAAACTGTTCTGTCTGCTGCCGTCTGGCAGGTGGTACCGCAGCATCAGGACTAAAACCACCAGACTCAGGGACAGTTTCATCCCACAGGCCATAAAACTGTTGAACACCTGAACTGTTGAAACAACATCTGTTAAACATCTTGGGCCTCATTTATAAAGCTTTGCGTAGGATTCACGTGGGAAGGTGGCTTACGTAGGACAAAGCAAATAAATATGCACACAAGTCTTCTGATTTATAAAACACTGCGCACGCACGTCCTACGCCGGTTTCCCTTTATAAATCACAATCAACTCGAAATGCGGCGCAGCTTTTGCGGGCTTCACATAACGCCCATATTTGCCTATAAATAGTAAAAGAAACGCCCCGTATTAATATTCATTTTGACTGACTGCATGAAGAAGATCGCAGGAAATGACGACAGAACAGCTAAAAAAGACATTTCACACCGTGTCAGATTTTGGTTATTTTGGGGAGGTCGAGATAAATCATATTGTTTGGTGGATGCAGTTTGAACCAGAGTAGCAGCATGAACGTCGGATCGTCACCAAAATAAATAAATAAGTGGTCCGAAAAAAGTTAATGACAACAAAAATACACATAACCTTTCTCAGGCAGTGTGTTTGTACCGGGGACAGGAGACACCCCCTTGATGAGAAACTGTAAGAAATGATCGGGGAATCCCTCCGGAGTGGAGTCATGACGAATGGATCTAAAGTTTTTTATTTTATTTCGTGGTTTGTGTTCCAGCTGTCGATCGGCGGTGCGCAGCGTCTCCACTGCAGCCTGTGCATCTCAACCCCCCCGCAGCAACTCTATCCACCAGAGGAAATAAAACTAATGTGTTGTGTTATATTAGCTGTACAATTGACCAAATATGGTGTTCTTAGTTTCCATACCTCCTGTGTTTTACGAGCGACTTATCAAGTATTGGCAAACGGCATAAAACATGATTAAACATGATAGTATATAAAACCATGCTCGTATCTATACAACCTATAGAAAAGCAAAACGGCGTCAGTTTAAAGTAATTCTATCCTTCTGTTTACCGCATCATTTATGAGAATACATTTCTTAACAAGAGAACATAATCGAGGGGTGATTAATAACATTTCCGTATTCATTTATTTCTCCAAGTTATGTTTTTGTGTGCACTGAGGAGTCTCAAACAGGCGTCTGTTTAATCATTTTAAGATTGGCTTTAATCCATTTTTGAAAATGAATTCTTCATATATGATAAATGAGAGGTAACATTCTATTTATGGTATTATTTCCACATATTTCTCTCCATTCTTCCTTCTGCCAACGGTGTCGCAGTTTCTCGTCTTTCCCGTTTTTGTGCGTACCGCGTACGGATGGGTCAGAGTTTGCGTGAAGGACTGCACATTTTCCCGTCAAGTTTTTTTTTTATAAATCGCAAAGAAACTGGCGTACACCATCTTTTGAGCGTATGCACCGTTTATAAATGAAGCCCCTGAACTGTTGAAACATCCATAACATTCATCTGGCTGCTACTTAGAAATTATTTATCTAATATATCATATTCTAATAACTTGCATTTAGACTCTTATTGCACTATTTCACTATTTCACTTTTTTAAACTATTTTAAACTATTTTTCTTTTTGTATTTACTATTTATTATTTACCTGCACTATATTTTTATGTTTATCTGTTTTATTGTGTTGCACTGTTGGAGCAGCCTGTGACCTAAGATGTTCATCGTCATAACTACACTATGTTGGTATGACAAATAAAAACCTTGAACCTTGAACCTATGACTGGACCAATGTTAGAACATTGTATAGTCAATGTGCTGCATCAGATCTAAAAAGCTACATGTTTTCTCAATAATGTGTTGTTCTGGATTATTCTGGAAGGTAATTGTGGTGTTTTTTCAGTCACTGGGTAATTAGTTAAGTAATATGTGCAATTACTCTACAGCTTAATTTTCTACCAGCAGTTATGGGAATAATTCCAGCTTGGCAGAATAAAGCTGCATGTCTGGAATGCAAGTTTGTAGAATTATACTGAAGGCCTTTTCTATTTGAGCTATTCCAACTGGAGAGATGATGTTATTGCCAAGCCACAATTCACATGGCAAATCAGCGACCCTTAATTGTAGTACAGGTAGATGTGCATCTTTCATAAACAACATGTTGATAATATTGTTTACATTTGAAACTTAATTGTGTCCAAAGTCCCAGATATTAAGTTTACTCCTCTACAGGATGTTAAAAACGGAAGTGTCTGTGTGTCATGTCGCCTTTATCGCCTGATAAAAGTGGTAAAAATCGTGTTTATGATTGACCATGATCGTCATAGCCTGTATTGCAGCTTGAATCATGTTTTTTCTGATCGCACTTTGGCATTGATCTGGCCATGAAGCTGGTTTTAAAAAGATGACATTTTAGAAAGTCACAAGTTCCCCCCTGTCCTGGACTTTTAACTTATCTTCAAAACTTACAAACTTTATTTTCTTATTGTCGCAGTTTGCACTTATCATTGTTTTCTTTTCCAAGGGGAAAAGCCCCTCCCGGTCAGAGAGGGGATGAGCTGGATGATGAGAAAGACGCAGAAGAATCCCACCATGGTACCATGATAGACACTCTATTGGAGAGACATGGAGTCTGTATTCCCCACCATGAACCCAGGCTGTACCGCGCTGCTGCTGCCAAAACCAAATCTATTCCAGGGTTCAGCATCCTGGCTTTCCCTGATTTCTGGGGTCACCTCCCACCACCAGGGCATGAACCCATGGCTCCACGTAAACCCAACGTTCAGAGGTACTGCATGCTCAATACAGCACTTAAAGGTGCAATTGATAACATTGATAACATGAGGCCACTTGATGTTGCTAACCTTATCCCTAGAACCTGCTTATTTCATGAAGGAGGAAATATTATGCTCATTTTCAGGTTCATGTCAGGAAGACAACTGGCGGCCTGGGCATGTCTTAAGTCCTTCTAACTCCTTCAGTTGACTCAAATGAACAAAAGAAGAACCAATGTTTAGTCTGGTCTCCTTTAGCACTGAGAACAGTAGCCTGCTGTCAAACTCGTTTTTCTGATCTTTACTTACTAACTGGAAACAACTAAGACTCTAGTTCGCTGACAACCAAAATATACCATGTGTTGCTAATGTTGTTATACTATTGGATCGCATGGGAGTCCGGACCTGTCACATTTTTTAGGTTGTTACATTCTGTTTACCCTTGTCAAAAAAACATCTCAAGAACTGGTTATACTTAGTTTATTTTGGGAGACTCATGAGCTGGTTAAGGAGTATTTTTCTCTCGGATGTTTTTCCCACACTCGTACAGTCTTGTCAGATTTAATTATTTCCCAATTGGTTCTTTTATTACGCAATCTTCCCTTCCACCAGTAGGTGTGACAGCCATGATAGAAGAGTCAAACCCAAGAGTTACTTTAATCGGTAGTGGCTGTATTATTGTCACAGAGCAAAGGAGGCAGTCACTCCCTGGTTAGGGAACTATTATCTCAAATTGGCCACTTAAACGTATGAGACTCTTGGGTTGACTCTTCTGTTGTCTCTCAGCCTTCAGTGGACATGTTACCTTCCAAAAAAGGAATGTTTTTATAGTCCCTCTGCCCACATGAACTGTATGGGAACAGTTGTAAATACTTGGATGTGACGCACTAGCAAACCTTTATTGGGATGCTAATCTTGGCAGGAGGGAATGTGTTAGATGGCGAAGCAACAATAAGCCTTTGGAATGGTGACACCAGAATATCTCCTGCCACCAAGTCTCTTAAGATATTCCATGTATTTTCCTATCATACACTTAAAATAAATACAAATAAAAAACACTGTCTAGATCTTTTTTTTTCTAATGTTAGGGTCAATCAGTGAGATTTTATAGTAATTGTGACACTTTACATTCTCATATTTAGAGGGTTACTAGGAGGTTTAATTGTTAGGCCGGTAACACATTAGTTTAACATAGATGGCTCAATACCAACTTGTATACATACTACATATCTGATTATTTTATATGTTAGCAAACATCTAACGTGTAGATTAATCCTAGGTTAAACCACCACTCTCTCTGTAAAGTTCACTGGGGACAGGTAAACTCAAACATAAGACCATGACAGAGAAACATCCGAATAAACAGACTCAAAACTAACTGAATGCTACAGAGCAAAAACAAACTACAATTGGTCTAAGCTCCAATGCCACTGGATCATACTGGAGACATACATATTTAGAATTCCCTCACACATACATAGTTTTATTTAAAAAAGGACTCAGTAGTTCCCTAAAACACCTGCTCTTACTTTATTTATTAAATGTAACTTAAACAGCATGACATAGGGCTATTGTTGGGGACTATTTAAAGCGGAGGATTTTATATTTGGTAGTGATAACTTGTGGCAGCAGGATGTGTGGGATTGAGTGAAAATAAAGTAAAGTGTGTGTGTTGGTGTAATGAAGGAACATGTGAGCCAGTGCAACTGTGTGTTTATTGATGAGTTTCTAACAATGTCAAATTTGTTGACATATGCATAGAAAAAGAAAAATCACCAGACTTGTTCTTTAACTGAAATGCATTTGCTCCAACTTTCAGTGTTAGTAAAAAGCCCACTTCCTAATGCAAATATGTTCTGCTCTGATGTTAATGTGGGCTAACCTCAGTCACTCAAACCTTTTGTCTTGTTTTAGAATGTGCTGGTTATATCTGTGTACAAGAGAGAGATAACGCTCCTCACAGACACTTCCTCAGCACTTTCAAGAGACCAACAGACGCTGACATTTAGAAAATGTTATGGATGCAATTTCACTCTGATTAAATTGCCAGTCTGTTGGCACTTACATAACAAATGTTTTGAGTTGGCAGTCCCTAATAGAACTAATGTTGATGCCATTTTTGTCAGGACTGCTTTGTGAGTAAACTGTCTCGGGTACAGAATATAATTATTCTAATGTGAAGGACCTTCAATCTCTGTCTCATTTCAAACTCAAATCTTGTCCTCCAGTGTACCCCTTCTCTGTCTTCTTTGAGACTATTTTGATTTCATCAAACATTTTTCAAATTATTTATAGAACTGTGGGTGTTTCTCAATCGCGAGTAAAGCTGCTTCAGAGCCACTATTTCAAGCATACTACGTCATCGAGTGCCGCCGAAGGACTGTTCCAATCTCCAGCATACTTGGAAATCTACCGAGCCCGGCGTACTTCGTAGCGAGAAATTTCGAGGCTGCACATGTGTAGACTCCGCGGTCTTAAAATCCCCACAATGCTTTGCGCACGGACCAATTTCCCCAAATCTGTGGCGGAAAATGTAAGGCGGGGCCTCTCATATGACGCACACCTGCACACTTGCTAGCCTGTTCCACTCTTCGTTTTCCGAATGCCAGGAAGTATTCTTGCCTCGCTTCTGAAGCAAGACGCTCGGCAGACATGTGCTACCAAGCAAGCGTACTCGCGATTGAGAAACACCCTGTATATCATGGAGCTAAGCTGCTCATTTTTTTTAATGGACTCTGAGTTGACACTGAATATTATAGTAAAACTGCTGAGATTGGGGCTAATTTTCTATATTCACTTATGGCGCGTTTCCACTACAGCGCGGAGCACGGTTTAAGAGGGCTGTGACGTCAGCGGCCCGTCTTTGGTTGCGTTTCCACTTGGCCTAGTACCGGCCGGCGGGTCCTAATTCACAGTTTTTCTGGCCTCATAAAATCGCGGGTCTAGGGCCAGAGACAACGAGGCTGAGTCGGGCTGAGTATGCTAAACTAGAGAGAGCATCGCTGGCAAGGGGGCTACAACTACAACAAGATGGACATATTTGACCGTGATTTAATTGTAATACACGTTTCAAAATGATGCCGAAGTAACAACATACTGATACCGGTTAGTAAAAACCATGAATTAATGCTTTGTCAAGTCTGCAGACAGACGGCAGGCGAAAAACCTTTTAAAATGCGTGTGTTCTAAATGGAGATTGGCTAAGCTAACGCAGTATATGCTCCGACCGTCCACACTCACAACAACGGCCTATACAGACATAAATAAAGCAGCGACTGTATTCACCATGACACAGGCAGTCTGTGGTTTGTACTTGTTTAACTTTTGTCTAGTTTCTGAACATATATGAGGAGCTGTGAGCTCTGAGTGCTAACAGCTAACGGCTGTGTTGTTTTTCTGGGGTTCTCTGAAGATCACGTCACGGCTCCGCCTACACTGCTGTGCGTATCTGTGTATCTGTGCAGTCTTTCCTAGCCTGTGTAGACAAAAACTTGGATAATATTACTCAGAGCTCTGACATATTCATCCACTTCTATTTGACTAATATCTAAAACTGGACCACTCCCTCCTTTGAGGAGGCCCAAGCTTTGGTATACCTTTTGTTGTTATGCGACCTATTGTTGACAACATGTTATTATTTATCAACTACAACGTTACCGAAATCCATTATCTGACTAATCATGACCTTCCCTCCTTTGAGCATAAAATGCTCAATTAATATCGCAATGATTACTCTATTATGAATAGGACATGGAAAACCCCTTAACGTCGTAGCAAACACATAAATCCTCTGTGTACCCACAAGGCGTACAAAGATGTTGTGTGATGTATCGTCTTCCAATGGTATAAATGCACATTGACTAAAAATATGCCATTAGCACAAAAATATAGTTTACTTCTTGTTAGTTCAATAATGGCTTTTGTCATGGTACTATGTATCAGTGTTGCTGCGAAAAAACCACACTGGTGTTGCTAATACGTCTTAATAGCTCTAGTATTAGAGATTGGCTGACACTGTTAAACAAACAAATCATGACAAAATAATATGTCTTTAAACTAGTGGGAAATACGAACTACTCTCACAGAGGGTTGCACGCAGAAGAACATGAAGGGCTGATGTCCCTCACTTAAAAATAGATATTGCTTTATGCACTACTTTATAAATCAGCAAATTCACTTGAACATAAATAAATGAAGACTGATTCTTGAAACTGTTGTAAAAACCCTACAACTTCTTCATCCAAGCTCAGTGTTATGTTATTTAGTTGGCAGCTCATGCCTTAAATCAGAAACTTCAGACCTATTATAAAAATGTGTTTATGAGAGAATGTAATCTGACTCCATATATACCTCAACTTAATAAATGAAGTTCCCCTTTAAACACAGCCCCGGTCTTCTGACGGGGTCTATCTATGTACTGGCTGGTAAATGTTGTGCCAGTTTCTGTCACACTGTCACTGTTCTCCCGCTAACAGTCACTCTCTAGTTCTGCTGGGTTCTTGTTGACTTCTTCACTGGTTTGAGACAAGCGATCTTATTGAAACACCTCCCTTTGTAGCCAGACTTCACCACAGCAGAATCGAGTTTCTGTTTTCAGGTCTCAACAGCTCCACATCAGGTGTAGCCTGAACTGCCCCTTGAACTGCAGTCGATTTAAACAGGAGGACTTGGTAAGGACCCTCCGTCTTGGGCGAGGACTAGGCTTTCATCTTCATCTTTTGGGCGAAAACCCATTGTCTTGACCTCTCTAGCTGTGTGGGCACAATAGTTTTCTGTGTGGGGGAACAACATCACTCGTAATCTCTTTCCTTCTCATAATTACAAAAATAGTCTGCTAAATGTTCTACTATGTTTTAATCTTCTTATACTAATCTGTGGATGATTTATATTTAAATGCACTATGCTACTCACTATTGTTAAATAACATTCAACACATTCATGTTTGGAAATACTATTCCTCTTTGCCATCCCTGAGACCCCCTGCCTCTGTTATAGTCATGGAAACCTCCCCTGG